ATGATCCCCATTTTACAGATGAGGAAACTGAGGCAGACAGCCGTTAAATGACTTGTCCTGGGTCACACAGCTGTGTCTGAGGCTGGATTCGAACTCAGGTCTTGAACTCTGTGGCACCCCCAGGCTGCCTTTGCATCCACCTTCTACCTCTGATGTTTCCAAGCTCAGTTTGGCCTGGGCTAAATCACCCCAGTTTGCTCACCTGCCTATGTCCAGAAGCATGTGTGCGGCTCCAATGAGAGGATGTAGGTGGGTGGTGCTGTAGGCTGGATGTGTCAGTTATTGTGATCCCAAAAGCCTCTCACACCGTCCCTCCAAGGTCACTCTGGCTGTGGACAGGAGTAGGCTCACTTCAGCAGCTAATCAGACCGTTTGTTAAGTAGCTCAGACTCGGCCCCTTAGAGGAATCGGTGATCGTTCTTGGGAAGCCGACAACCTCGTTCCTGAAGGACGTGCTGAGTAATTCTGGCAGAAGCTTGGGGCGACAAGCCGATAACCTGCCCCACTCCCCCATGGAAGGCTCTGCCTGTCTCAGCATTCGTCAGACCCCACGGTCAGCCTCAAGCTTTAGATGCAAAGACAGGATGGTGGGAGCATCTGGCGCTGGAATACCTGGGTCCCCACCCGAGGTATCCTACAAATGTTCTCATAAAAGGAGGGGGGATGTTGCTGAGACGACATGAGGAGATGAGGCACTAGGAGTCAGATGGGTGGTGGGAAACACTTCCCTCCCCGCCCTTCCAAACCTATCCATCTATCCACCAGGTCACTGCTGGGGAGCAGTGCACTGACAGGGAAGATGAGTAGACTTTACTCAGCTCATGTTTTTGTACGTGTGAAAGAGTCAAGCATCTATCAGGCAACAAGCATTTATTAGGCACCTACTATGTACCAATGACTGCCTGGCACTAGGAATACAAAGAAAAGGAATGAAGTGAGCTCTGCTCTCAGCTGGCATATTATCAACAATCCAGCCAAGCAGGCAAGACACAGCACAGAGTGCAGCGCACAGCCTGGGAGAATGCCCAGAGGAAGAGAGGGCACCGAGGCCCAGGAGCGAGACCCAATTCTGTCCCACTCCCCAAAGGATGCCCCGAGTCCTCGGTCTCAGAACTGGTCTCATCACTTATTTCTCCCCTACCTCACACCTTCTCTGGCTTCCTTATCCCAGGAGCAGACGCTTCCAGTCCTTCTCATCCAAGTGCTGTGGGCTAAGAAAGTCCTTTTAGGGTCTAAAAAGGATGGTTCTGGAGGCTCCCGGGAAGAAAAGCCACAGCCCAGGGGCCCACGGCTACCCCCTGGTGAGCCCTCCATTGTCTGCACATTCTGAGAGACAGCATCCATGCTCTGAATTCTAGTGCCTTCCCTCTGCGGGTTATTTCCAATTTATCTTGTATGTGGCTTGTTTGTACATGGTTATTTTTATCTTGTCTCCCCCAGTGGTCTGTGAGCTCCTCCAGAGCAGAGACTCTCTTTTACCTTTCTTTGGATCCCCCCAAGGGGTGCTTAGTACAGCACCCAGCACATAGTAGGTGTTCAGTAAATGTTTACTGACTGACCAACTAACTCGTTGGTCCTCCCTCAAGCCCAGCAGATTGCCCATAATGACAAATTGGAAAATAATAATTGCTGGAGGGGCTGTGGGAAAACAGGTACCTTGACTTGGTATTGCTGGAACTGTGAACGAACGTTCAGTCCAGCAGTTTTGGACATGGCCTAGACTATGCCCCCAAAAGTCACTCATCTCTTCTTACCCCTAGACCTGGCATTATGACTACTAGGCATATATCAATCCATCAACATTTGTATACCAAAAAGAGATGAAAGCAAGAGGGAAAGGAGCCATATTTACACAAATACTCTTAGCAGCTTTTTTCATAGCTGCAAAAAGCTGGAAACTAGGGAGTGCTTTCCCTATTGGGGAATGGCTAAACAAATTATGGTATATGAATGAACAGTTTCAAAGAAAACTAGGAAAACTTGTATGAACTGATACAGAGCAAAGTGAGCAGAGGTAACAGAACCTTGTATATGAAGACAACATTATAGGGGAAAAGTATAAAAAATGTAAAAATGATGGGAAAAACAACTTGGGAAGACTTCAGAACCCTGATCAACACAACCATAAATTATGATTCCAGAGGACTGATGATGACCTATGCTAACTACCTCTTCCCAGAAGACTCCGGGTGCAGAATGAGGCACATTTTGGAGTTGGCCAGTGTGGGAATCATTGTACCTGTTGGCTATAAGAGTTTTCCTTTTCTTTTTTCTTTTAAATTGGAAGTGTAAGGGAGAGAGAAAAATGCTTGTTAATTGAAAAATCAAATTAAATTTCAAAATAAACCCAAAGAGTCTCTTTAAAAACAAATCGTACCAACCCTTTAGTGGAGTTGTCTCTGCTGGGTCTTAAAAGAGCCTTAGTCCAGAGCATAGTGGGTTCGAGGCAACTTGCTTACTCAGACTGCTTTTTGTCTGGTGTCTCCTGCCAGACTGACTCATCCCTCATTGTAACCTTGTGGTCTACCAATCTTTGATGCGTTTGTTTCCCTCTTCAAATATAGCTTTGGCTTAAAATTTTGGTAAAGATCTCCTCCCTCCTCCATTGACTAAACTTGCTATTCATCAAAACATATTTCTGCTTTCATCAGTGGCCATCCCTTGGAAGGACAGTCCATATTGCTGTTCCTAGGAGGAACAATTCCCAGGGTTATATGTGTAGCATGTATGCATGTATCTATATTTCACTATGTGTGTGCATGTACATGGATGTGCATGTGTGAGAGTATTAACACAGGTTCTCTGGCCAACTGTATGAGTTAGCTCAGCACTAGGATGCTCTGGGGATGGCAAAGCCCTGGGCTTGCTTATCCATAGCTAAGCGCTACTCAGCACTGAAGGCCTCTGAGGATGACACTGTTATCCCTTTACTGACCATTGAGTAGGAAGAGCCAGCGACTCTGGGCCTTTGAAAGGGAGTGGCCTGGCCTCAGATTCTTCTTCCCCTTCTTGGCCTCAGAGCACGCTCATGCCTCTTGCAGGAGGAGGGGTGGGGGCGGGAGGTTGGTCAACTTTCTTCCACCAAGCAGATGGCAACCCCTTCTAGGTGGCAGCTGGAACAAGGACTCAACCAGATGAACCTTGCTTCTCTGCCTGAAAGCAGGTAAGTAAATTATGATCTCAAGATGGACCCGCCCAGTTTGGAGGTAACTGACAGGGAGCAAGGGAGTTTCCACAGTAGAGAAGATGACCACCCCGGGCCAAGAGGCGGGACCCACCCCCGCCTCTGGACTGCAGAGAGTCAAGGTGAAACATCCCAGTGCCCACTGGGCAGGCGTACAGACTTTCACATTCCAGGGTTTAAGGGTGTAACACGTGCCAACAGCTGCTTACTCAAGTCATTGTCAATGTTTGCTGAATATAACTGTGGTTAAAAGTTAACAGATCCTGTTCTATCTCTCTGCCAACACGACCTTGGGAGACCTTTTGTTTGTAGGAAATAAATGCCCATCCCACACCTCATCTACGTAGTCCATTTGAGGACCTTTCTACTCTGCCCCTTTGGGGGAGACCCTAGACAGGCAAGCTTTAAACCGTTCTCCTTGGGGTCTAAGGACAGAAGTGTAATAACCTCAGTGGCTCCCTATTACCTCCAGGATAAAATAGAAAATCCTCTGTTCTGCTTTTAAAGACTTTCATGAACAGGACTCCTATGGCCCTTCATAGACACAACATTGCACAGACAAATCCCTGGGGAGTTCCATCACCTTTATTAAGGATATTCTATTATACACACACACACACACACATACACACATACCTATTATATAGGTACATACACATATACATAAACAGACACATATGTCTCATTCTACAACCTCAGTCCATTGTCCCCCTTCACTGCCAGTCTTCTGGAATGCTCTGGTCATTCCACTGATCAGAGAACCTAATTCTTTCAGACTTGTTCATCTTTACGACATTATTGTCATTGTAGAAATGGTTCTCCTGGTTCTGTTTCCTTCATTCTTTACCGGTTCCTAAGAGTTTCCCCAGGTTTCTCTGAAACCATCCCCTTCATCATTTCTTACAGAAAAACAGTATGGCATCACACTGATAGATCATTGTTTGTTTGGCCAATCCCCAGTTGATGGGCATCCCATCGTGTCCTGTTCTTTGCCACCTAGGGGTCATACAAGCATTCAAGGAAGATCACCAGCATGTTAGGAAGTCCCAACCAGGGCTGTGCTGTAAATGTTTTACAACCTGGCTCCAGGAAAAAAAAAATGTATGCAGACACACTTTCCTGCTTACTCGGCAGTATTAAGACTTTCATAAGTCTAGACAATTAACAGAACGATAAATCAGGCCCTGCCGATTTCTAAGGTGTAGATGCTGTCATTGAAAACTGAACAATCGCAGGCTGGTTGGAGCTGGGCTTGGCCACAGCAACTCCTACATCCCTTGGATGAAAGTGTGGAGGGCAATGACCCTCCATCCCTCCCCTCCAACGGGAGAGAATGACTGCCTGATGAAAGCCGGGGAGGAAGGAGCTTCTCACACGTGGGGTGCGAGGAGGAACTCCCAAAGGACACTTCAGATGGAGGCAGAGATGGAGAGAGTTAGCACTATAACTCCAAAGGCTCGAGCTTTAGACTCGCCAAGGGTAAACGGCTTCTCAGCAGCGATAATTAAGCACCATTCATCTTAATCGGGACAAATCAACAAAATAAAATAAAAGCAGCTGATGAAACAGCATCTGTAAATGTCATTTGCTGGATAAATAGCAACTGGGTTATTTTTGGAGGACAGAAGGATCGCGTGTTCTGCAGCTGTGAGGGCTTTTTCATTTGGAGTCTTGTTTGAAAAAATGTAGGCAGGGAGGGTAATAGGGTCACAGATTTAGAACTGGAAGGGGCCTCCCTCTCATTTTACAGATGAGGAAACTGAGGCCCAGAGAACGGAAGCCCCGGGGTCAACAGAGAACTGGGTTCCAATCCTACCTCTTACTGTGTGAGCCCTGACAAGACATTTCATTTCTGTGAGCCTCGGTTTCCTCATCTGTAAAAGAGAACCAATAATATGACATTATGGTACGCATCTCTCAGTGTTATAGTGACGTATCTAAAGTGCTTTGCTAACTTCATAGGGTCAGAGAAATCCCAGCTAACACCTTCATTTGTACATTTAAAAAGGACCGGACGATAACTTCTCAAATAAAAATAACCGACATTCCTATGGTCATTTGAAATGTGCATACATGATCTTATTTGAGCCTTGCTGCTTATTATCCCCATTTTTTAGATAAAGAAACCGGGAGTCGGGGACTCCGAGTGATCTGTCCCTGGTCACACAGGCAGTAAGTGTCAGAGCTGAGTCTCAAACCTGGATCCCTCCTGATTTCAGGCCCAGGGTTTGCCCCTTCTGCACCATTCAGCCTTGTCATAGGAATGGATGAATAATGGGGAAACGTGGAGTCTCATCAGCAGAGGGCCTGGGGGGGGGATCCTCGGGGTGCCTCGAGCTCCACCGGGGACAGATCCCCTCAAGGACGGTCTTTATTTGAGGGGGGCACTCTAAATGCGTCCTAGGCTGGGCTGAAGCTAGCCTGCCAGCCAGGGAGATTCTGCACGGGTATTGTTGGATGGATGCACAGGCAGATACTTTCTGATGTGTTCTTTATTCTTAATACAAACTCCAAAGCATACACAATCCAGTGAATTAGGAAATCCCTGGGTGATGAAAAATCCATTGTTCTCGCTGAGCAAGACTCTGCAGTACGGCAAATTCAGAGCAATAAATCTCATTGGCTGAGAACGTTGGCGAAGTGATGGCGTCGGAGGAGGTATAGACACCGCAGAATAAAGCAGGCTGCGGAACCTGAAGCTGAGACTGCTCTCCCCGAGATCCGGCCAGGTGGAGCCGCCCATGTCTTTCAGCCCAGGGGAGAAGAGATTGTCTGGACTACAGCCTGACAGTCTGGGGCAAAGGAGAGAAGGCAAGTCTGCATCACGGCTGTGAGGGGCCATGGGGGTAGCAGAGCTTGCTCTCAGGGTGCTCCACGCAGTCTCTGGGCAACTCTGGGCTTTCCAAGGCAAAAGAGAAAAGAAAGATGTTCCCTTAGTACTCAGAGGTGGCTGTGAGGTCCCAGATCCACTGGGATGCTTTCCTGGCTACCAAGTGTAAAGAGGAGGCGTCTTTATTGTGCCTCACTCGCAAATGGAGGATGGCTCCCTAAGGTGCGAGTGATACCACATTATGGGGAAATCATCCTGTAAATTGGGCTGTCGAAATATGGTGTCTCTGCCATTGGAAATGAGAAATCCCAACTGCTGCGAGCCAGGGCGCCAGGGAGGCTGCTGAGCACCTCCGAGCTCCTAGGACTCCCTCATTCCCAAGCCTCGGATCGTCAGTTCTTCTGCAGACAGATTCTCCGTGGTCTCTACAACTCAGTTTAATCCAATTTCATTCCCCACATGCTTCCTCAGCACCTACTTTGAGCACTGCTGCGCTCACCGCCCTTCTGGCAGGAGAGGAAAAAAGCACTAGGTAGAGAGTCTTGCCAAACCTCATCCACAGCGATGTGCAATTGTTTTCAAATTAAACAATTTGAATACTCTCTGCCTTTCCTTCCTCAGACAAACATTTGTCAGGTTTTCCTAGGTGCCAGAAGCTAGTGATACAAAGCAAAGAAAAAGTTCTTACCCTCAGGGGTCTCCCATTCAATTGAGCAAGAACAATCAAGCTAATGACAATTATTATAATTATTGTATGATTATAACATAACAACGTTCAATAAGCAGTGATTAAGCATACACTATGTGCCAGGCACTGTGCTAAATGAAGCAGCTACAAAAAGAGGCAAGAGATAGTCCCTGCCCTCAAGGAGCTTACAATTCCACGGGGGAGTCAAGGTGAAACCAATATTTACAAAACAAGCTACAGAGACACAGGAGATAATTAAAAGTGGGAAAGTACTAGAATTATTACGGGCTGAGGAATGAGATATTATATTGGACAGTATGGTACAGTATATATCACATTGTCTATTACATACATCAAAATATGATATATGATGTTATATTATATGTAATATAATACCCATCATATCACATCATTATGTCATGTTAGGTATTACATCGTTATGTTAAATTACACGATAAGACATTACATCATGTCTCATTTTATAATCACGATTACTAGCATTCCTATAGTACTTGAAGGTTTGCAGAGTATTTTGCACAAATTATCTCCATGGGTGAATAAATACAAATTGCACACATACAAAGTAAACACAGAATAATTCCTCAGGGACTAGTAACTGGGGTGAAAGAAATGGTTATTTCTCCCTCATATTAATAATCAATTATTAAATTAGGACCAGGATTTTTTTTTCAGAAGCTGGTAAGTTATTCAGTCTCTGAAGGACATGCTGATAATGAGATCTAATTAACTTTGTCTCCAATCTTGTTCAGACTCCACCCAGGTAGGGAAGCCATTGCACACAGGTTTGGGTGGGAATGAATTCTTTAATTAGATTGCTCAAGCTGAGTTGTGTAGGATGGGGTGATTCTAAAAAACAAAATTGGGTAGGAAAAGGTTTAAAAGGAGAAATTATCTCACAAAAATCAGGTGTGAAAGGAAGAACTAATACAGAGGAAACTGGTGGGAGTAGAGGGCTGGTAATGTTGGAACCTTTCTCTCATCTGGGTTAAGAGGAAACAACGTGGAGGAGTGTAGATCTACATCCTCTGAACTTGTGGACAGGTGAGAAAATTTGGGGACAGGGTGGGGAAAGGACTTTTAGAAGAGTATATAAAGATTAGGAGGATGGGGAGGAGAAGATACGGGACTCTTAGAGGGGTGGGTAAAATAAGGAACAGGAGGGTAACGGGAGAAGATAAAGTAACCAGGAAAGGGTAAAAAGAGAGGCTTTGAAGGAAAATAGCGTGTAAAAATAAGATGGAGGGAAAGTCACAAATAGTAATTTTAACTTTGAATGTGAATGAGATGAACTTTCCCATAAAATGAAAATGGACAGCAGAATGGATTAAAAATCAGAATCCAACACTATTTTGTTTGCAAGAAGCACACTTAACAATGAGAGATGTACACAGAGTTAAAATGGAGGGTTGGAGTAGAATTTGTTATTGCCCAAAGCTGGGTAATTTAAGAAGTAAATGATATAATCAAAGTTACATCCTCCAGTCCCCCTCATTAGCATATGCCCACCTCTCATTGTAATATTCATTCTCTCTCATTAATTGTTAACCAATCAGATTTGATTGTCACCCTCAGAAGCACCCACCCTTCCAAGGGCATATAGTTGTGAGCCCACCACTATGATTGTTCTTTGGCATTCAAGAGTGTCACTGACTCATTATTGTTCATACACTAGCTTTATTAATAAAATGGTTAATCACCCAGAAATTCTGTCTCTAAATGTCACAGGGGAATCAGGGAAGGCTTCCTGTCAGGGCTTATTTCCTTGCCTTTCTCCAGGGTGCTGAATCACCTTTCTGGAGAGAGGACACCCGCCATTTGCACCAGGCTCAGACTCTGCTTAGAGGGAAGAGCCAGAAGCTTCAGTACCATGGCCAATCACTGCTCATTTGACAGATGACTGACTGCCAGGTGTGCCCCTCAGGCTGCATCCCTGCAACTTCCACCAGACCCAAACACCTTTCCCAGGCCACTGCTCCTCTGTGTGCACTGTCTCCAGAAGGCCAACTCTCTGAGGGCAAGCAGTTCCCTTTTGCTTAGCACAAGTAATCTCTTAACACATGTTGTTTTCAAATGAGATAACATGTGTAAATCACTTTGTAAACCTTAAGGAGCTATACACACAGTAGCTATCATTATTATTATTATTAATGATGTTAACAACTCGTTCATTCATCTCTAGGTGGTTTTCTCCTGTTTTGTAGGGCTGCTGGAAGGCACTAATTCTGAATCTTGTGTCACTGTAGGAAATGGGCCCCAGGAGCCCATGAGCAGGTGACTTGCTTCCTAAAGTATCACAAGATATCCAGGAATGAAACTCCTCTGCTACAGCCCAGGTGCCCTCTAGACCACAGGCCTCCCTCGTACTTGGCAGCCCAGTTTTTTAACACCAGCATTAAACAAAACACCAGCCCTCTCCCAGAAATCCTCAACAGCTATAGTTCATGAGGCCCTTGTTCTCAGCAAGACTGAAACTGCTGCCGTTTTGAGGGGCCACAGAGAGTGGCAGAATGGGTGGGCGTGGGCTGCAGCACCTCCCCAGTGAGGACTTACAGTCACATCCTGGCCTAAAAACTGTCACCAAGGACATGCCGTACCTGTTCAGAAATAAGCAGATTGGTCAGACAGTAGGAGGGAGAGAGGGGAAAGCAAACACATGGGCAGTCTGAGCTATTCACACACTATTGTCTACAAGATATCAGAGGAAACCGAGGCAGGCCCTTTGTGCACCACAGGAGCCTCTGGGAAGGATCCGCAGAAAGACCTGCACAAGACTGACCCAGGTTAAAAGAAGTGGAAGGAGGCACTATCTGCACTGGGGGAAGGACCTGCTTGTGGATCCAGGCTGGAAGGGACCTTAGAGGCTACCCAGCCCACCCCTCTCATTTTACAAATGAGGAAACTGAGACTCAAAGCAGGTTCAGCCATTGCTTGCTGAAGGTCATGAGGGACATGGTCAGGATTTGAAACCAAGTCTTCCCATTTGAAATCTCATGCGGCTTCTACTTGGCACCCACACCAGTAAGATCCTGGAATCCCAGACCCAAAGTTAGAGAGGACCTCACAGGCCGCTGGAGGAGGATAACCCCCTCATTTTACAGATCAACAAACTGAGGTCCACGAAGGTGACGAACCTTCCCTGGCTCTGATAAGTAGGAAGTGGCAAGGGTGGGATTTGAACCCATGGTAAAGCCTCTTTCTCTTATAGTGTGCTAATCATGAATGCTTTGAAACACATGTAATGCAGGGGACTGGAAAGTGGACTTTCCCTCTGAAGCTTTGGGGGCCACATCAGTAGCCCTGAAAGCAGGGATCTTACCTCTGGTCCCAGGGATAGAGCCTGGAAGC